TTGGAAATTCACAAATTACTGTTGCTATGATTCGTATTCTTATTAATACTGCTACTACTGCTACTACGACTACGACGACTACTACTACTGCTACTACTACTACTACTACTACTGCTGCTACAACAACAACAACAACAACAACAACAACAACAACAACAACAATTACTACTACTACTGCGCTGCTTCTGCTAATATCTACTAATAACGATACAACTAATGATTCCCAATTCATAAAAATGAGAGCGAGAACAGGAATAAATCCAAAACGCCGCTCGCAAGTCCCGAATCACGCTCCTACCCTTAATCAGAGGAAACCCTTATCGAACACTTATAGTCTTTCTAGCACCCCTTCATCATAGAAAACCCTTCAAGAACCCTTATAGTAGTCTTTCTAGCACCCCTTACTCATAGGAAGCCCTTACAGAACCCTTATAGCAGTAAATCGCACCCCTTACAGGAGCCCTCATAGGATCCCCTCAAGCTTCATTTAAGGGAACCCGTAAGGGAACCCGTAAATGAGCCCTTAGAGCAATCCTGTACCCTAAACCCTAAACCCTGTAAGAGCCGGAGACTGCCTCCCAGGGGATGAAAAACTGCTGAGCCGGACCGCAGACTTCGATTCCCAAGGGTCGGCAGTAGACGGCGCACCGTTGAAGCTCCCAAGGCCTAAGGTCACCCACGGGTATACCCATAGCCTCCATTCTACTTCCGTTTTTGGGGTTTAACCAATATCAGACTAAGGATCCTGTAAGGTAACCCCCAAAAAGGAACTACAATGGAGACGATAGGTAAAATAGATGGTGAGTAACCTACTATTTAGGTAGCTGTAGCTTTACGGTTAACTTAAGTTAGCTGTACTCATGCACTGATAGTAACGAGATAGAAGTCGCAATAGTTCGAAGAAAATCACAAGAACGATAAGAATGTCATCTGTACATTGCATGAGTTCAAAACGGAGGGCTTTCGGTCGCCCTGCATCCAAAACTGCCACAGTGAATGGTGAGCTGGGGCAGGGGATTCAAACGCCCAAGAAACATGTCAGGGCCCATGGGTTAGGATTTAGGGCTTAGGGTTGGTTCGACGTTTGATCTCGACAGGAAAGACTGCCAAATGTCTTAAAGTACTACTCCCAAGGCCTATAGCACTTGGGGCATTTCGTACTGTTTCACTCACCTCGGCTTTCTTATTGCGGCAAGACTGCTCTGATACCTCCGCCATCTCGTTTGGTGTCGCCGGAACTGCCAGTTGGAGGTCCTGCAACATCGCTGCTTGTTTTAAACCCGATACCTAAAAGCCTAATATAGGGGCCTGAATGATGAGAATAGGGTTTTGGGGATTCCTTAATATAATTATACCAATGGAACCGCAAACCCTATTCTAATCATTAAGACCCCTACATTAATCAGGGCCAAACCCTGGACATGGTCCTCAAACCGATACAAGGCTCTAAGATTGGGGCTCCTTTAAAGGGATCCTTAAAGGGTTCTATAAGATATCTATGATAGGGTTCTATAGTAGGGGCCAGAATAGATCTTGGATCGTTGATAGCGCTGAAATGTGAACTTGTGGACGAGGTCTGAGACTGACACGAGTGAAGCCAGGAACTAAGCTGAAGTATACTATATAATCAATCATAACACCTACGAAAATAGGCCACAACATAACTATGGCTGCGAGCCCCATGCCCAAAACCCAAATCCTTGTTTCTTCTAAACCCCTCAACCCCTAAACCCCCTATAACCCCTAAAACTGGACCCTAACCTCGAACCCCTAAGCCCCAAACATCGAAACCCCTGAACCCTAAACATCGAAACCCCTAAACCCCAAACATCGAAACCCCTGAACCCTAAAAATCGAAACCCCTAGACCCCTGCTAAAACCCTGTTTTCGTCCTCGAAGGCAGCTTCCGGAGCCTCAGCCTGGTAAAGTCTATGTTTGTGTTTGCTTTTGCGGGGGTTTAGGGTTCGGGCTTTAGTTTTTGATTGTTCAGGTTTTGGGGTTTAGCTTGCTTTGTTGAGGGCTTGGGGTTTTGCTTTTTTGTTTAGGGTTTGGGGTTTAGCTTTTGTTGTTTAGGGTTTGAGGTTTAGGGTTTAGGGTTTGGGGTTTCGGGTTTGGGGGTTTCGTGTAAGGGCCTTAGAATAAGGTTTTAGACCCACTTTTGTAACGTAAGTATAACAGTCCTGGGCTCCTTTATAGTAATACTTTTTTTAGTGGCAACTATATGTTTAGGCTTCTATAGTTGGGTCATACCCTACATCGCTGTTTTGTAAGGTACCTACATTTCTATTATACAACAGATCCAAGCCTGGAGGCCCCCCCCACCTCCCCGCCCCCATACCCCCGAGCTCCCCGCAGCCCCCCGCACCCCCCTGCACCCCACCCACCCACCCCCGGCAGGCAAAGAAAAAGGCACAACAGAAACGTAACCCCCCGTTTTAGGGTTTAGGGGTCCATCCATGCCTCTGCTTCTTTGGCAGGGCGATCGGAAGCTGCGCCCTCCAAAGAGAGCGGAAGAGACCTGGGAAGGTTAGGGGTGAGGGTTGAGTCTTAGGGCGTTGGTTTAGACATGGGCTTGAGGGTTTAAGGGTTTGGACTTAGGGTTTATAAGGCTTGGGGTTTAGGGTCTAGATTCTAGGGTTAGCGCCGCTCCCAAACAATGGTTGGCTTCGGCCCTTCAGGGATTAGGCTCTTGGGCTTAGGGGAGTTTGTAACAGTGAAGCTCTACGGCCGCATGCTAACCTGCAAATTTGAGCTAAAGGTTGCTTGGGTCGTTCTATACCATAATAGCCTGAAGCTTCGATTTCAAGGCTTTGGACTATACTGGCAATTGCCTAGTAGTGCTAGTCATCGTAAATGAATACTGGTATCAAAGATTGTATGAGTTAAACCTCGATTGGTCCCTAACCCTAGACCCTAAACCCTAAACCCTGAACCCTAAACCCTAAACCCTAAACCCTAAACCCTAAACCCTAAACCCTAAACCCTAAACGGGCCCTGGCCCTGAACCCCTAAAACCGGTGAGCCCCACAACCAAACCCCCCCAAGCCTGAACCCTAAACCCTTATGACCGAAAACGTTTAGGGTTTAGGGTTTAGGGTTTAGGGTTTAGGGTTTAGGGTTTAGGGTGGGGGACCCTAAACCCTACACCCTAAACCCCTAAACCCTAAACCCCTTCAGGTGCCCCTAACCAAGGAGTCGGCCCACACTGCTGGGCAGTGTAAAAAGGCTCAGTGCTGAGGGTAGGTTCGGGGTTGGGGGTTTAGGCTTGGTCTAGGGTTCGGGGTCGAGGATATGTTTTAGGGTTCGGCATTTAGGGTTTAGGGTTTAAGGTTGCCCGCCAAACTCAAGTTTTAACCTGAAGCTCTACATTACCATCGATATCCTATGTTACTAACCTATGATGTCGAGAACTGGACTTACAGGCTATTATAGGGTATTTCTGGACGCGGGACTGGTAGGCTTCGACGGTTTGCTGTCTTGTATATAGGCTTCAGCTTGAGCTTCCCTGCGGGCCTTGACCATCGAAATCCCTATGGGGCCATGTGCCCATGTAGTACATTCGTAGTATATACTTTGGCCCAAAAGTACCGCCATAAGGACTAGATTAAGGCCAAAGTCTATATACCATATGAGCACCTAGACCATTACACCCTAAACCCTTATGGCACGCCTATAGAACCTTCAAAGGATCCCTTCAAAGAGACCCCTTAAAGGCATATGGGCACATGGACCCTTCATCAGGAAATAGCACCTGGGCCCTTGACCTGCCGCGGTCTCGCCCCTCCGTGCTCAGCTCTGTCTGCCAAAAGGTTTAGGGTTTAGGGTTTTACCCTAAACCCTAAACCCCGAAAAACCTACTTACCTGTTTAGGGCTCCTGCTTTTAACTCCTTATCTAAATCCTTTGAAAGTCAGGGTTTGTCAGGGTCCAGGAAAAACCCTACAACCGAAACGCTCAAACCTACGCCGAAGCCCTGCGCCCGTGCCTGTGCGCACCAGCCCCAAAACGCCGAGGATCGATAGGATCTAAGGGCTTTAGGAGGGACCCTTAATAGGGACCCTTGTAGGTTATTGGGGTTAATATGGAGACTACCTGGCGGGTATATAAGGACTATACAATGGCTAT